AATGGCCAGCGAGTCGCGAGTCATGGTACTCCCCGAGAAGGCGAGTCCGAAGACGACGGTCTCGTGGGACACACAATAAGTCCTTGCCTCTCGAGTGGAGGAGCAAGTACCCGTCGGCAATGCGATAGTGGCTGGCCGGCGGGTGATCCGAAGATAGCTGCGCATACAACGTGGCGAAGTCCGGATCAGACTCATAGCCCCGGATGAAGTGTCGCTGGAGTTCCTCGTCGAATGCGAAGGCATGATGTGTCATAGCGCAAAGATCGGGTCTTCGCGAGAGTGCATCTGCTGCGCGATTGGAAAGGCCGGGGAGGTGTTTCGGTGTGAAGTCAAGTTGGTTGATGAAGTACATCCATCGTCCGATCGTGCTGCTCACCGTATCCTGCGTCTAGTAGTAGGTCAATGGGTTGTTGTCCGTAACCCATGTGAACCTTCGACGCCCAAGGAGGAAGTGTTGCCATCGCTTGAGAGCCATCACGAACGCGAGCAGCTCCTTCTTCCTTGCATCATCAAGCGAATTAATGGGAGGCACTTTGTGGCTGAAATACTCCACAGGGTGCCAGTCGTCGCCGTCGTGTTGTTCCAAGACTGCCCCAATGCCATAGCCGGAAGCGCCAGTTGTCACTCTCGTAGGCAGGGTGGGGTCATAGATGCTAAGGACGGGTGCCAGGAGCATGGCCGTCTCAAGTGCTTGGAATGACTGGCGTGCGTCGTCATCGAATACGAATGACACCTTTGGCGATTGTAATCTCTTCATAGGTTCATCAATCCTTGAGTACCCGGTGATGAATCGCTAATAGTAGCCCGCCAACCCCATGAATGAACGGACGTTCGTGGTGTTGGTGGGCTCGGGCCATACGCGGAGGGCCTCGATCTTGTCCGCAAGCGGACGGATGCCTTGCGGCGTCACATAATGTCCCAAGTACTCCAGCTCTTGCCGCGCAAATTCRCATTTGTCGCGGTTGGCTTTGTACTTGGCTTGTCGTAGCCGCTCCAAAACGGTGCGSAGGTGTTCCACATGCTCRTCCAWACTCCGGCTGTACACYAGGATGTCGTCGAGGTAGATAAGTACGAATCGATCCAGCATGTGTCGGAACTCCGTTGTCATAGCCGCTTGGAAAGTGGCCGGGGCATTCATAAGGCCAAATGGCATAACCAGCCATTCGAAATGCCCATATCGCGTCTTAAACGCGGTCTTGTAGCGGTCCTCCTGCCTCATCTCGAGTTGGTGATATCCCGACTTGAGGTCAAGCTTGGAGAAGAACTTGGCACCGCCCAGCCGTTCGAGAAGGTCGTCGATGCGTGGAAGAGGGTCGGCGTTTCTGACCGTTTGCGCGTTGAGCTTGCGATAATCGATGCACAACCGCAAATCCTTGTTCTTCTTCCGGACGAAGAGAACAGGAGCACCGTATGGCGATGAGCTAGGCCGAGTCCAACCTTTCTCCAGAAGGTCGTCGAGTTGTGCCCGCAGCACACTTAACTCTTTCTCGCTCATTCGGTAGATGCAACCACGCGGAGGTGCAGCCCCGTCCTCGAGGATGATCTCGTGGCGGATGGGCCGATCCGGTACTACTCCATGCAGGCCTTCAAACACTTTGCCGTAGGCGTCGAGAAGTTCGGTGATGCGTGGGTTCGAAGATGAGTCCATCGATGAAGCGTCATGGGGCGGGATGGCGTGGAGAAAACACACCCCCATTTCCTCGATGTCGTCTCTGATGATGGAAGCTCGCATGCTTGAGGCGGACACCACGTGACAGCTGATCGATGGGACTAGTACTCCGTTCCGATCACGAACGTGAACGGTGCGGCGGTAGAAGTTCACCGGGTGATCCTCACTTCGCAGCCATGACATGCCCAAGATCATGTCGAATTTGGTGTCCAAAATATCGAAGGACACTGCCTCGCTTTCATGCGGGGCAAAGTACATGGGGATGTCATCTATGCATCGGTCTATTGACTTGTGCGCAGACCATCCGCCAACGTGACTTGCGTAGGCTGGGACTTCCTCCGGATGCGTGGGCCAAGGCCGGCGCGTACCATAAAGTCCTGTCTCATGTAGTTGCGAGATGCTCCGCAATTGATCAAAGCGTTGCAGGTCGCCTCTCCGATCTGAATGCGTACATATAACAATGGTGCGTCGATGTCGTCGTACCATTGTGTCCTAAACTCGCGGTCGATCTTCGCAATGTAATTGTGAAGGTCGACAACCTCTACTCCGACGTTCATCAACGGAGTTGGTACTGCAGTGTGCAAGTAATCTCGCAATTGTGCCATGAGCACGTTGCAATGCGGTTTCGGCAATCGACCGGACCGGGGAAGGGGCATCCATTGGAAGTCCGCAAACATCAACGGGTCGAGCTCTTCAAGTCTTGACCATATCGTCGAATCCCCGACTATAAATGGCGGCGAAGCTGCCGACTCAGTTGCCGATGGTAGTAAAACCGTGCATGCGGTAGATTGTTGCACGTGGAGCGGTTGGTCCAACGGTGGGACCAAGTGGACAGCATAGTCCTCGTAAGTGTACCGAGAACTTGCGACATTCGCATCCTCCGCAGATGTGTAGGAGGCCGTTAGCAAGGCGGCCGAATCTGGTGGAGTGAGAGGTGGAGTCGCCTCACCTCCCGCGGAACTCAGTTTCCCGAGTTGATACGAGGCCAAACATCCTCCTTGCCTTGATCCGGGCATTGGGAGGTCTTGTGCTTGGTGTTGTTGCACCAATAGCAGCATCCGTAGCGTCCGCGCCACTTGTATTCCGCCTCGGTCAAGTGAAACTTGACCCATGGTGCTGGCTGTCCGTTTTCAGCCGGCGATGCGGTTTTCGCCTTCCCGTTTCCTCGGGAATTGTTGTTGCTTCGCGGTTGGACAGCAGCCAACTGATCTCCCTCACGTGACGCTTGGGTGGCTGCCGGGTCTTGCACAATGTTGTCCGATTGGACTGCAGCGACATGCTGTGGCCGCGGACCAGTTTTCACCTTCTCCACATAGATTGGCTGCCATGCTGATTTCTCATGTGCAGCTGCCCTATTGGTCTTGATGATCTCCCTTGCCTTGTCGATGATTTCAGCGAAGGTTGCGTATTGCTCGCGATCACCAAGTGCAAGGCTCAAGGCGACACATGACCGCTTGTAGAACTCGCGGTGCAGATGCGAAAATGGCAAGTCAAGATCGGGCGTTGCCGCGATCTTTTGCCATTCCGTGAGCCAGTCATGTGTCGATGTGTTGCCTTGCGTCATAGCGAAGAGGCGGTTGATGGCGAGCGTCAGGGCGTCGTCCACGATGAACCGCTTCTTCCATAGCCGTGTTAACTCTTCCCAAGAGATCTTATCTTTCACATCTGCGACGTCGACGCCGTGGACGGTTGCCAGGTGGCTCAACCAGATCTGGCATCCGCCCTTTGAGTTGAGGAACAGCGCGCCGATGTACGCGTGCTTGGCGACGAACAGAATCCGAAGTTGCGTTGTAAAGCCCTCCCACCAGAGGACCGGGTCTTGACGCATATAATCATCGAACTTCTCGATTTGGAATGTCGGCATCTTGTAATGCTGAGTGGTGTTGCCATCTTTGTTAGGCAGCTGCAGTTGCTGAACCTCGGTCTTCAAGGTGTCCAGCTGGTTGCTGATGGTGGCTGGTGCAGCGAAGGTGCTGATGTCGCCGAGCATTGCGACTACGTGGTCAACTCGTTCCTCCAATTGGCGGGCAGAGGGTGCACTGCTGGACTCGCCAGCCTCCGGTCTTGGTGCAGTTTGCTCCAAGTCCTGTACATGGGAATGAAGTGCCTGTGTTGCATCCTCGTGCTGAGCCTTGTGATTCCGTACGGCCCGCTGGAGGTTCGCCAGCTCAGACTGCAGGTGGTTACAAGTGTAAACCAACCTAGTCACGAGTTTGGCCATGAATTCCTTGTGTTGCTCCTCCGGCGTCGCGTCGTCGTGCTCCTCGGATGGTTCAAAGTGCCAAAACTTGAGCTTTTCTATGCTGGTGGCTTCATGCCGCTGTAGGAGATCCTGGGCCTCCTTGCGTCGTGCCTGGGTATCTGCTTCAGCTTCGGCTTGAAGTCGTTGCTTCTCAACTGTTGCCGCCGCTTCAGCCTGCGGCGGAAAGCCTCGGCTGCCACCTGGCGCTGTTCCTCAGCCTCGATCAGTGCGAGCTGAGTCTGGAACCGCTGTTTGTACTCGCCAATGGACTCGTTGGCCAGTTGGCCTGGCATGCCCAGAGCTGAGCCCGTCATGGTGGCGGGGCACTGTTGACGTGGCACTGTGCTGACGTGGCACTGCTGACGTGGCACTGTTGCTGACGTGGCAGTGTTAGACTATATCTTGGATCTGAAACAACTCGTAGTACGGGATTAGCTTATTAAATTCCTATTTAACTTCTGATGTGGCACTGTTGCTGACGTGGCACTGCTGACGTGGCACTGTACCAACCCGGAAATGCATGCAAAGGGGTGGGTGGGAGGGAAAACGCAGGTAGGTAACCAACCCAACAATACTTTCCTCCCGGCCCCAATCAACAGATAAATAAATAAAAAAATAAAAAAAAGAGGACTACTTCCTTTTTTTTTTTTTTCGTATATCTGTCGATCTATTATGGCTGAGGCGTGTCAGAAGAGTACTATGAGCGAGATCTAGGCCAGGTTCCGCAAAGTTTCGGCTTTCACAAAAGAACTAAATCCAGTTTCTGAGAATATGGCAACCTCCTAATATGCCTAACGAAATGCTGGTAGGCTTCGCAAGATTTCGGTTTTCAAAAAAATTTTGCGAGATAGAATGGAGATTCGATTTTCAGAAAAGAATAAATCCGGTTTCTGAGAATATGACCGCTTCTATCGTTATCCTAATATGCCTAGAAAACGGAATGTTAACAAAAGAAATTTTCAGCTATGTATGCAAATATCAGAGAAACGAAATGCTACTATCAGGAATTTTCAGATAAAAAGAAATGCGATTATCAGAAATTTTCAGATATTTGTTGCGTGAAAACGAAATACTAATATCAAAAATTTCAGGTAAAACGAAATGCGATTATCAGAAATTTTCAGATATTTGTCGCGAGAAAAAAAAAAAATTCAGAGATTTGACGAAGTCCTACTTGATTTACTAATGAGTGGTCAATAGATCAAGCAAGCTGGCTACTTGATTGAGCGGGTCCTCTGAATGAGAGGTTCGCTCCGATACCAAACTGTTGCATACTGTAACGGTGCAGACCAGAGCAAGAACCGACCTCTCAATACAAAGTACAAGATAGCGTAGCGGAAGACATAGATACCAATGATCCGAACAATCAATACTGCAACGCAGCCCTGAACATACATCATCATCATCACTCCATGGTGTGAAGGGGTCTGGCGCTCACACAGGAAGAATGCGCCAGCCCCAACCATACACAGACGAAGAAGAGGGGGGTTAGACGAAGAAGAGGGGAAGATGGGAATGTCGTCAACACCAAGTCTTCGGCACAGGCCCAAATAGTCCCTCGTCAAAATGTCTGAATCCCAATGTCGAGTCTGGATCCAATGTYGTCAAGTCTCAAGTCACAACTCTCTCTCTCTCTCTGTCRTAGTCCGCTRATACTGAGAAGTCAGGTAGTGAGAGGGTGAAGAAGAGATGGTGGACTTAGAAGAGGAAGAAGAAGAACTCTCTCTCCCTCTCTCTCAGTCCGGTACTAACCTGTGAAGCTGGCGCCTTGATGCAGGTACMTCGAAGATGGAGCTGGWGCTATGGCSCCACAGGTAAGTCTCGCTGGCCTCCGCCAGCCATCTCTCTCCAACACTACTACTACMACCTATTAGCRCCCAGCGCTGAAGACTACTGCTACTGCTACTAGCSCCCAGYGCTGRAGACTACTGCTAGCGCTAAGCTGCTCCTGCAGYGCTCCTCCAGARTGCTGCGGCYGAATCCTGAAGACTACTWCTGCCTTCTGTCCAACTACCTCCCCGTGAAGTGCATRGAAACTCCCTATGTACTACTCGGCCTACCTCCTGACTGCCTGCAACTGCAGGGCGAGGCAGTCCAGGAGGCTGCTCTTGCCAATGCCAGGGCGAACCAGGGGCTGGCGCTGCAGCTCCTGCTGAGGCTGCCGTGGGGAACAGGCCAGAAATAGCCTGTTCCCAAAACCCTGGTTTTGTGCCTGAGTGTTAGGGCAGGACGATCTTATGAGGGCCCGAAAGTGGCCCTCCATTTCAGGCTGAAAAGACTCAGGGCTGAAAAGCCCTGTTTTAGGCTGAAAACGAAATAGGGCCTGCAGGCCCTCGTTTCCAGTTTTCAGGCTGAAACGACATGGGGCCTGTAAGCCCTTGTTTCTAGGCTTTTAGGCTGAGAATGCGGGACGGGCCCTGCAGGCTCGTGTGGCTACGCAGTATGCCACATCAGATCTGGATCGTTGCCATGGAAAATATCACAGTTGGCAAACCTGCTCACATTTGGTGGACTTCCAGGTCATACTACAGTTACAATGTCATGGAAACCCTCCAGGAGAGACATCTCGAGGCCCAAATGACACCACATAAATCATCTTTCGACCATCCAGGGATGATCCACCCCTCCCATGCAAACAGGAAATCAACGACAGCATGTGAAGAGAGTCCCTCGGAACTCAAGTACAAGGTTCCAAAACTCACACCCTGATCACCGCGCTCATCGACTGCAAGGGGGTGTGACAAGGGGCCATGCTAATCTTCAATGCATCGTTCCAATTCTTTTTTTTTTTCTTTTTTTTTTTTAACAATAGCAGGACCTTATGGTCCTGGCTCCTTTTCATTCTGGGGAGCATCAGTCAGGTTCCTATTCCCCCGGCGAGTCAGAATAAACGTTACAATCATGACACTCCACGCTTCCTTCCGTCTGGCCAAAGGACCCCTGAGCAGCATTGATTACTCCATCTTAGTGGAGGATTGACTGTCACCTTGCCATGCCTCTCTCTTCCCTCTCAGATCCGTTTCCCGGGTCTGCCAGATATGGCTATAGTATCTAGAAAGAGCACGTTCTCTAACCCTCTCCAACCCTTCTGCCCCTTCAGCATTATGGCCTTCCTAAATTTCCTAACCTTACAGTCCTTACCTTACCTTTCTCAGCCGCAACGATTACTCCACTGTGGTGGAGAGTTAACTGTCAGCTTGCCGTGTTTCATTCCTTCCTTTCAGACCTGGGTACCCGATCGGTCAAATGACTCTGAGCCTTCTAGACGGAAACCGTCCCTCATCCAGCTAACAAGTCCATTACGACTTTTCCTTCCTTACCTCAATATCCCCTATCCCATCTTGCTTACCCCCCACTCTTAAGCATCACCAAAACCTAAAACCTTAATCCCTCGTCTTATCACCATTGCCAAGACCCTTGTGGCTCTTCAGGGCCCTCTTAGACTAGGGTTGTCACTGTCTTTCAGGGCCCTTGTTCTCCTTCACTGATATAGTGTCCTCTTTTTCACTGCAGTCCTGCTCCAACCTCGCCTTTAGGGCTCCGCCCGTCTCTGGGCTGTTTCTCCGTGTAGACCCCAGTCGTGTCCAACCCTCGTACGTATCTGGTCAGACCAACAGATGCTCAGGGATCAAAAACCCTAAACCCTAAACCCTCCCTTGACTCTCCTCTTATCGCCTTTTACTCTCGAGACGACCTGCTGTTCGAAAGTCGGGGGGAGGGGGGGGGCGGGTTGTCCGAACCCTGGTTCCATTGTGGTGGGAGGAGCCTGTAGAGCCATGGTATCACTACTTCATCTGCTGCTCCTTTGTCTTGGATCTGATTCATCCCCGTCTGGAGGAGACCTGAAACCCTCCTCCCTTCACCAGTCCTCGTCCTTCTTGCCTCTCCCCTTGGCTTCCTTGCTGGGCTTGATGTCCCTTTCTCCCTTCAGCTCAGGTGCTCGTCTGTTACATGAACAACCTGTACTCCCCTCCCTGTCTCGGAGTTGTGCCAATCTTTCCAGTGTAATCAATCGTTTCTTAACTCCGCCACCTTACCATCCACTAACCATTGTGTTATGAACTTCTTCTTGGCCTTTTCCTGCAGTTCTGCATCCTCTGGCATCGACTGTTTCAGTTTCCGCCATCTGCACAGAATTTCTGCCTGCAGCAACGTTCTCGTCTCCCCCCATACCTTCTCTTTTGAGTTAGATAGCCTTTCGATGGTTCTGCAGCATCTCTCTTTCCAGATGACCCATAGTGTGACCTTCCTTATCAGGCCGAACCATAGTCTCTCCGTCTTCTTGACCTGGTCGGGAATGTTAGTCCCGAGAAGGATTTGGGTGATCTGTTCGGGGAAGGGGCTGTGGAAAAGGGAATCCGAAAGAACAGAGGCCCGTGCCCAGTAGTCCGTCGCTTCACTGCAGTGAACTAAGCAGTGAATTATGTCCTCTTGTGCCCCTACCGTGCAGATAGAACATAAATCTGAGCTAGTGGGATCGTTCCTGCAGCGGCGCGTATGAAGCCATTGGTTGACAGGTAATGCTACGTAAGTAATGAGCCATTGCAGGCTCCTGATTTTAATCGGTCTGATTGTCATGAATTTCTTCCACGGAATCTGTGTGATTTTGTCGGCTTCCTGGCCTATTAATTTTCCCCATCTGGCTTTGATTACTGGTTCTGGGTCTTTAGTTTTCAGCAAGAGCTTGTATCCCATCCTGACCGTGTAGTTCTGAATGGGGGTAAACGTTGAAATGTTTTTCCCCTTATCTGGCTTCCAAACCCATTCCGCCGGGTCAAACTCCAGATTGTGTACCGCCGTGTCCGGTCGGAAGACGACCTTCGGCCATGAGCCTTTTTTTTTTTTTTTTGTGAACACGATGAGATTCAGAAACATGGGGAGATCCTGAGTATCTAATGACCTAGGGAATTACTCATGCAATAACCTGCCACAGAGGTCCTACGAATGCTCACTACCCTCAGGTTCCCTGACAAACACTTCTAAGACTTCCCAACACCGTCTTACTTCCTGCTGAGCTCTTCCAGGCCTCACGCCCCCACCCTGCTGGGTTACAGGGCAACACAACTCGCCCCAGCTCCGACCAGCGTCATCCCAGCAGCAACCCTTGGTCGTCCCTTGGGATGCCCACCCCAAAGCATCCCCAGATCTCTCTACCAGGCCTCACACTCCTGCATCAGCAGGTTACAGGGCAACACCCCAGCACCAGCCAGCGTCGTTTTGGCATCGAACGGCCACAGATCACTGAGTATAACAGCATCGAAACCGCCTAAGATGGATTGCTAAGAAACCCTAAAGTCCTAAGACATTCATAAGAACAACCGACTTTTTTTTCCCTTCAGACTCTACCAAGTCAATAGAATATGTGTGTCAAAAAGCCTCCCCATCACAAATCAGATAGGTGAAACACTGAAACCTATTCAATCCACATACGACCACCCCAGCATGGCTAATTTCAGCAAGAACCGAAGATCTTCCAGGCCTCATGCTCCCATCAGGTTAGGTTACAGAGTTGCACCACCTTGCTCCAGCACCGGCCAGCATTGCTCCAGCACCAGCCAGCATTGCTCCAGTTACGACCCCCGATGACCACTGGGACTGCCCCCGCAAACAGCCCCCCAGAGCTCTCTACGAGGCCTCACGCCCCCACTAAGCTAGGTCACAGAGTTGCGCCACCTGGCTCTGGCTCCGGCCAGCGTTGCTCCAGCATCGGTCTTCGAGGGCCACCGACTTTTCAACCACCCCTTGCAGGATCACAGATGGCTTGCCAGATAACACCTATTCCTACAACCTCCTCGAGAGGCAACCAAGTGGAAAGCTATAGGAAACTGATGATAGATTTCTTCGATAGAGATCGCCCCTCCCTCCCCCTACCCCTTCCCCCTCAGCCCTACACTGCCTCCGCCGAGGAGAGTCACCCACTCTCCCTGGGCCCCAATATAGGACCAATCATCTCCCCCCTTTTCCCCAGGAGCACGCAGTTCCCACCTAAAGCATCCCCCCCCGCCCCTTGCCCATTTCTGCCTCCGCGGGGACTGATGTTGACCCACACACAGTCCCTGCCCCAGAATAAGGCAACCCCCTACTCCGCCCCTACCCTCTTTGAGACATTCACCCCCCACCTTGTGATGCCCCTGCAGGATAGAGCTCCCCCCACCCCCTTCCCACCGTTCAGCCCTCCGGAACAATCCGATCCAGCCGACTACAGTTATTGATGACACACTTACCAAAATATCATTCGCTTGGATTTTGTTGGATTTTGCTGATGACGATGGACAGCACCCTGAAGACGATGATAATGAGAATGATGGTGACAACCAACTCACCTGCTGATGTAGAGCAACATCTAATGAAAACAAGCTGATGATGATGATAATGATAAGAATGAAAATGGAATGATGATGCTGATCATACCAAAGAGCAGCACCAACAGCCCCTATGATTACAAACTGATGATGATGATGATGAATGATGATAATGATGATAGCGATGATGATGGTGATGTCGATAATGATGATGATGATGATGAAGATGATGGTGATGTTGATCATATTGATGATGCACTGATGATGACGATCATAATAATGATGATGATGATGGTGATGTCAATAATGATGATGATGCTGGTGATGTCAGTAATGATGATGATGATGATGATGATGATGATGATGATGATGATGATGACGCACAGCACCCTATGATGACGAGCACCTTGGATAATAACCTAAAGATGATGATGATGATGATGATGATGATGATGATGAACAACGCCGTATGATGACATCAAGCTTTGCCAACCGTGACGTATGATGGCGAGATATTTGACGATGGTGATACTACAACGAGTGACGAGCAGCACCCCTGATGCACGACTCCTAAATAATAGTGATGATATTAGCGTCGAACAGGAGTGAAGACATACGCCTTGATGATGATGACGAGCAGTACCCTGATGCTCATGATGGTGATGACGAGCAGCGCCCTGACGATGATGACAAACCATTACCGTGATGATGATGTCAAATCACGCCCTGTTGATGATGACGGTGACGAGCAGCACCCTAATGATGATGACACCGATGCTGGTGCTGGTGGTGATCAGCGAGAGTGTCGCAGATGACAGAGATGTATACAAAAACCGAAATCAACGCACTCGATATCGCCTCCAATCCGCCTACCGCTCCACGTAAGCACGCGCTCCTCCTTTCCGTCCGCGTCATACCAACCGCCTACCACAACACTACGCAGACCAAGGAGCAAAAGCCAAAAGAAGGCTGAACTTCTCAAGGAGACGCACCTCCTCTCGAAGGCAAGTTCCCCTTCACCCAACGTGCAACCTGTAACACCACTGGATGAAGCGCAAAGCTGGAGATGGCACCGAAGTGCTTTCAAAAGGCAGGCAACACCGAGTCACGCTCCATCCTCCTGCCTTCCCGCTGCCCGATCTCTACTTCATCACTACCCCATCACCAAGGCGTCGTCATGCCAAAACTGCCCACGTCATACCCAGCGGCCACTTCGTGCTCGTGTGTTTCCAACCTGTAGGGCGCCACAGGATTGCCCGTGTGAGAGTGCCAACCCGGCAGGGCGCAGCGCTCCCGGAAGCGCTGCGTCCCCACAAAATTTTGGCTGGGGGGATTCGAGATGAGCCTAAAAACCTTACTTTTCTGAACAGGAAAAAATCCATAACTATCGTTTCCACGTTCATGTTTAGTATCTCCGGCATACCCTGTTTGAAGTGGGAACTTGGAAAGGAGGTAAAAACAACTTTAGTGGTTGTTCCCGGTTGTAAGTGTGAAAATTGGAAGGCGCGTGACAATGTATTCTCTTATACTTTAACCCCCCATTCTCCACACTTCCATGACGAAGCTTCCCTCAAAATGTTTTTCCGTCCCCGAGGGACAAGATTGATGATATACTGGAGATTAGGTCCTCGTCTGTGGCAGCCCCTTAAGCGCGTGCTCAAGTCCTGATCAGTCACCCACTCTTTCTTTTCTTCATTCCATAGGTGGCTAATCCTCCATATTCCGTTCTTCACCCATGATAGCCATTTGTGATCTAAGATCATCACTTTCGTCTTTCAGCCACTCATTGTCGAAAAGTGGTTGTCTCAAGACCTCGTCTTTGGACTTCGGCCTGTTGGTCTTTTTTGGCATTATTTCCCTCCATAGCCGCCCAATACGGTGCCTGGCCTCTGGTTATGATCCCCTCGGGGTCTCTTCTAGGTCTTCTCCAGGTCGTTTTCATGTTCCATCCCTTGTTCATGACCAATAACGGACCTGACATGTTCACTGGCGACGTCACCGGGGCCAAGGCTCTTATGCTGTCTAGAGCCAGTTTATTCCATGCCGTCTCTGGCTTCATCAAAAGCTTGACTATCCATTTGACCTGAAGGGCCTTCGTCTCGCTTTTAGGGTCAATAATCCCTAGGCCCCCTTGTAACGGCTTCTTGGTGACATAATGCCATGCGATCTTGGAGATGCATCCTTCTCTGTTGGGGTTACCTGTCCATAGATAATTTTTGGCTACTCGGTTGAGTTCTTTTATTGAGTTCTCCGGCATTGTCCATATTGATGCGATGTACCACGTCATGGAAAATACCGACGTGTTGAGTACCAGAGCTTTGCCAATCATCGATGCAAATGTATTCCCCCATCTTCCTAGCTTGTTTATCCATTTGGCTAGCATGCTATTGGCCATTTGGGGCGCCAGACCTTCCCTGGTCATGAGTATGCCTAGATAACGGGTAGGGGATTCCGGCATGTCCCATGTCATGGCGGCCTCTGGCCCTTGTAGATGAGGTAGATGCTCATCGGACAACCACCACCCTATGGTCTTTTTCCAATTGATCTTCATTTTTGACACCAGTCTGAAGGCTTCCATTGCTTTGGCCAACGTCTTGAAGGAGTCGTCGCTAGCTCTGATCAGTACTGTTAAATCATCTGCAAACATAATTACAGTCGGAAACCTCATGTGATGCGCCGACTCCACATTGACCTCTGGGAGCCTATGTATTGAGGGATCTTTCCGTAGGAACGAGGCAATGGCTTCCATAGTGAAGAGAAAGATCGAGGGGCCAAGCGGGTCTCCTTGTCTGACTGAACGAGAAATCGGGTAGCTTTCCGATAGGAAGCCATTGACTTGTACACAACCTATGGCATTGTTGTACAGTACACGAATCCATTTCCTAAAGATAGGTCCCACCCCCATTCGCTCCATGCTTGCGTCCATGAAAGACCAATTAACTTGGTCATACGCTTTCTCAAAGTCAAAGAATAGTATGGTTGTGTTTACCTCCTTTCTCTGACTTTGTTTACCGCCTCGTTCAAAGTCAATACATTGTCCAGTATAGAGCGCCCAGGGATGAATCCCGTTTGGTCCATGTGGAAACACTTATCTGTTAAGTTCGTGATTCTGGCTGACAGGGTTCTGGCCAGAATATTGTAAGGGAGCGTTAATAAGGAGATTGGTCTGTAGTTCCAAATATCCTCTTTGTCTCCTTTTTTGTACAACAATGTAACCACTCTGCTACTCAAGAAATTGCCCAGGCCTCCTTTGTCATAGCTATCCTTGTAGAAGTTCAATAGGTCACCCCCTAAGAGTGGCCATAACTTCTCCCATAATTCTTTTGTTTGCCCATCGATACCTAGGGACTTATCATTGTTCATGCTCTTGAGGGCTTGGCCCAGTTCGTCCACTGATAGAGGTTTGTCTAACGCTTCCGCTTGTTCTTTGGAAAGCGTTGGTTCAAAGTATTGTAGCATTCTTTGTCTCGCTTCTAATGTGTTGTGCGGAGTAGGTGTGTTGGTTTTGGTCTGATACGGATCTTGGTAGAATTATTTTGCGATTCCTAGCATCGCCTCACTGGTAGCCGCATCCACTTCTGGAACGCTGAGAGTTTTTAACCTTTCTATTGTGGCAGCTCTTGAGTTGGCCTTGATTCATGCCAAGAAGTGTTTGGTCATTGACTCACTAAGTTCATATTTGTTCATTCTGGCTCTTCTCCGCAACCCTTTTAAATCCCACCATCTCCACATGGCTAACTTGTCCCATGCTTTCTCAAATAAGCCCACCTAAAGCTCGGAGGACGGCTTGTCGCTCATATTAGACTCTGCGATCTTCAGCGCCAATACCAGATTTTGTCTCCTTTGCTTCCTTATGGAAGCTAGTTTCCTCGATATTCTGGCCGCTATCTTCGATAGGGATAAGTAGCTTTCATGGCCACTCCCACCGATAATGAATGGGTAAGTAGATGTTCCTTTGTTTCTGCCAGCATTACTGCACTCCTTCTTGGAAAGCCTGGCTTAGCAAGAGGGAGTTATTCAGTTTGTGAAAGCTAGCCCCTTTTCTCACAAGCTGTTCAAAGTCGATTATTAGTTCAATAGGTTTGTGGTCCAAACTGCATCGTTCCAATTCTAATGCTTGATAATCATGATTATCCCTCCTTATAGTCGACTGTCGTGGGGTACACAGTGAGAGAGGGACTAGTGGAGGAACATGTTCCTGCAGTGCACCATTGCTGCAGTTATCATGGCACACCACACTACACAAGACGTCGCAATACGACCTGCTCGCTCCCCTTGTCTATGGTTGAGAAGATGGTTTGACTTCTCCATGGGGTGAGATAGGGTTCGATTGATGTAGGCTGCTATACCTCCTTTTGTGTGTTTCTCCTTCCTCTCTTAGACTTGTTTAGTTGGAGTCTTTGCTGAGTTGCATTTCATTGATGACCACAATGTTGACACTCCCACATGAATGTGTGTGTGTATGTGTGTGTGTGTGTGTGTGTGTGTGTGTGTGTGTCTGTGTGTGTGTGTGTGTTGTGGATTTTCACCACCACAGCCCCTGCTCCACCCATATGAGTAGCTTCAATATCAATGCAGCTTTACCTCCATTGCAGACAATGAAGCAGACTTGAGATGAACCATTCACACAATTAAACAGTTTTACCTCTATAGCCGGCAACATGGAGCTGCAATAACCCGCTCAAAATATGCCATTGTTGTCGGCCAGGGGTCCGCATTCCGGTCTTAGGGCCGAATCAGGGGCCAATGGCCGCATCAGGCCACAGCGACGGCCTGAACCGAGGCCCGGTGCTGTATGCACCCAACCGAGGCCTAAAAATTGAGCTTCAGAGGTCCTGCGCCCCACAGTTGACTAAAGAAAGTCAATAGTCAACTGTAGCTCGAAAATTGAGGCTCACGAGCCAAAGTTTACATGGACCCAGTCCAGGCCATCGATTAGATACACACATTTGGCTGTTTGCAGGTATCTGTGCAGAATCTGGTCCAAGTGGAAGTCTGCAACTGTACGAAATTCAGGCCATTGACTGCGGGTCAATCTGAGCCCTCGTATCCGAGAGACCAGAGGCTGGTCAATCTGTGTCAACACTACGTATTGACCCGGCTCCTGCTCACTGACATTCAGTCTTGCACTTGCTGCTCGACGCTGGCTGGACGTTGGCACTACGCTGGCATTGTGTGTGCGACGACAACGAGAGACTGCTGCATTGTGTTGCTGGCGCCTCTCTGTTGCTGGCGCCTCTCTGTTGTTGGCGCCAGTTGGGATCTTGGTTGGTTGCTGACGTGGCGCTAGCCACATCGTCTTCGGCACAAATCGGGGTATCAACGAGGAGGGGATCAGGGTTGTGAGATTGGTTGTGTGAAAGAGAGAAGCTTACCCGATTATTGCTGTCAACATTACGCGCTGCTGTGATGTCTTCATGGGAGATCTATGCCTACGTAGCACTATGTTGTGATCGGTTCTCACCAGGTTCGTCCTTGGGATATTGTACGCTGACATGGACAGAGGGGAGATGCCCGAAGGAGGAGTGGGACATGAGGGAGATCTATCTTCGATGACATTTATGGATACTTTCTCTTCGACCCTCTAAGTATTACCTTCCTCCTATCAGCTTCGTCCATTGGTTACGACACATTGTACTTCGTGCAAGGAAAATGAGCGATAGCGAACTTCAGAAACCAAGCAGCATCATACACATGAGACCAAATAGTCGTGACCTCGAACCAAAAGCAGAATTGCAACACGATTTCCATCAAATAAAAGCACAACAAAAGCTTACAAGTGACAATGTTGGAATAGTCTCATCATCATCAACAATGAACCAATATCGACATCCTATCTGGCGCTCTACGCCCAGACTACAAATGGCAGATCCTATCTAGCCTATCTACAATTCCGCTAGTGGCGTCAACAGCTCCCCGAAGTACGAGCAGATCTCGGCCACCGTCGTTCGCCTCATGCACCAGGTATGTCTCTCGTATCACTCACAACCTCGATCCCCCACTCACAGATGCCACGTGCACCCAAGGACCACCATGCGCCCCATCCAGCTCAGCGCAGCGCAGCTCGACTATGGCTGCCTGTTCTCCCTGCTCGCCCGGGAGCGAGTGGGCCTGGCCAGCGTTTAGCGCAGCAGCGCTTGCGCAACATGCAGCCAGTGCCCGAATGCTGAGTCTGGAGGCAGGCCCTTTCCTAAATGGAAGTGGCCTGCCTGCTGCATGAGGCAAGGCTGCACTGGGCTCCGGCCCAGAAGCTTCCAGTAGGCCCCGAGAGGCTGAGCCTCAGTCCAGACAAATCAGGCCCAGGGCCTGTGGTGGTTACCCATGCCCAACTGCCCACAACCTGTGTTCGGTCCATGTTGCGTATCTAGCCCAGGGCCTGCCTCAGTTACATACGATAAAGGCAGCCTGCGCCTGGGCGCTTTCAACCAACTGGCGCTGCGCAACTGCCTGAATTTTCCCCTGTTGCATGGTAGTCCAAAATAGGCCTAGGTCGGGCCTGCCTTCACTTAGGGCGGCCGACCTTGATGATAACAGGGCCCAGTAGGACTTACAGAGGCCTTGTGCCTCACATTCCCTCCTCCACACTTCGCTACTCCTCTGAGAAGTTTATTCAATCTAGCGCTTTCCTTTCTGCAGCAACTTCTCATGGTGGGTGACAACCTGTGGAGCGGTCTGCATCAATTCCTCCCGGGTAAACCATTTGTCCTCCTTAGGGTCAGTGTGATGTCTGAACCGAACGCGATATTGCAGCTTCGACTTAGGAGGACATCCCCTGCCGGTTGGTCTTGGAACTGGCAACTCCCTATGGTCCATGATGTCGTCGATATCGACCTCTCCATCCATGGTTGGGGGCAGCATTGAGCGTCATGGGGGAAACTGATCAGTTTCCCTGGAAGGTGCAAGCTTGTAGGCGTGAAAGACAGGGTAAGTGCGAAGGTGACCAGGGATCTGAACTACATATGATGGCCCATCCGGATCATTCCGGATAATATCTAGAACCTCCCAGGGTCCAAAGTATTGTGGCATGAGCTTACGGGATATTATGTGCTCTTGTCCCAGTTCTAAGGACTTGACCCAGACTCTGTCCCTTGTTCTGCAGCTGCGGCCTTCCACAACTTGTTGGTAAATCGCATATCCCGATCACTAATTATAGACTTTGGCAAGCCAAAGTCTTTGACCCAGTTTTCCTTGAATAGCGTAATCACGTACTCGGTCTTGGCTGTTGCAGACATTGCTCCTAACCTAGCGTACTTGCTAAACCTATCCACAATGACATAGATGTATCGCATGCCACTCTTGCTGGTGACCAGCGTGTCCACGAAATCCATGGACAGGCTCTCACCGGGCCTTCCCGGTATCGGAAGGGGCTTGAGAAGCCCAAGAGGGGCCCGTGTATGTGGCTTGTCTCTCTGACATACCTGACAAGTCTCCACTTACATCTTGGCGTCTCTCATCATTGTGGGCCACCAGAACTGCTGCAGCAAATTGGCTGCAGTCTTTTTATAGCTAAAATGTCATGTGGCATCATGACACTCTCCTAAGAATAAACTACACAAAGACTTCCGATTAGGCACACACAAGCGTTTATTCCCGGCCTTCTCGTCCTTCGCTTCGAGTCTGCGTATGATCTCAGCCATAAACGAATCCTCGCGATAGGCTTCCACCAAAGAACGAGTAACATCGTCCGCAAACCCAAACTCGGTGATCAGCACACCAAGGAAGTCCGGCCTACGCGACAGCGCATCAGCAACTCTATTGTACTCTCCTTTGATATACCGAGGTTCGAAGTCATACTGCTCAATGACTTCGATCCATCTTTTCAACGCATCCGAGAGCACTGGCTGGGTTCTCATCCACTTCAGGGTCTGATGATCAGTCCTGACGTAGAAGAACCTCCCAAGGAGGTAGTGCCTCCAGTGGGTTAGCGCTTTGTAGATCGCATAGAGCTCCTTCTCATAGGTGGACTTAGCCAACTTCTGAGAGGACATCTTTTTGGACATGTACTCTACAGGCCTCAACTTTGGCCCCTCCTGCTGCGCGAGCACGGTGCCTATGCCATATTGGCTAGCATCCGTGGTTACTATAAATGGCTTGTCAGGATCAGGAAGTTTCAAGACCTCGTGGTGTGCTAGAACATGCTTCAGATGTCTCAAGGCAGCCTCACACCTGTCTGTCCACTCCCATGGGGTGTCAAGGCGGGTTAGGTCAGTCAAAGGTGCGGCCACTATGCTATAATTCTTCACAAAGTTGCGGTAGTAGCTGGTCATCCCTAAGAAGGACCTCATCTTAGTCACAGAATGAGGACGCGGCCAATCACGAATGCTGGCCACCTTCGCGTCATCAGGCTTCAATCCCTCCGCGGAAATCTCATGACCCAGATACAAGATCCGGGTGCGGCCAAACTCGCATTTCTCCCCGTTGATCTTCAACTGGTGCTGTCGAACGAGGCTAAGGAAGTGACCGACATGCTCCTCGACAGTCCTACTGAAGATAAGTATGTCGTTGAGGTACACGATGACAAACTTGTCCAAGTAGTCATGAAAGATCCAATTCATGGCGTGCTGAAAGGTGCCATGAGCATTGCAAAGGCCGAAATGCATCACCACAAACTCGTACAGACCGTACCTTGTCTGAAAAGCGGTTTTGTAGTGATCCTCGGGCCGTATTGGAATCTGATGGTACCTGGACTTCAGATCTATCTTACTGAAGTACCGACACCCTTGCACTCAGTCCAACAAGTCACTGATGCGCGGCAGGGGCTCTCTGTTCTTGACAATGATGGCATTGAGGCCCCGATAGTCAATGCACATCCTCAAGGTTCCACCCTTCTTTGGCACAAATAATACAGGAGATCCATAAAGGGAGACACTAGGGCGGATCCAACCCTTCTATATGAGTTCCTTGAGTTGCCGCTGAAGCTCATCGAGCTCCGTTGGAGACATCCGATAGATCCTACCCTTCGGGATACTAGACCCTGGGATGATTTCTATCGCGTGGACGACCTCCCTCTCAACAACCCCTTTCGGCTCTTCAAATAGATCAGGGTATTTAGCGACTACTCCCTCTATCTTCGGCGGCATTTTCACCGGCTCGCCTGCCGCAGAGACATAAACTAAGTACATACCCTACTCCAGATTTTGCTTATAATAATTATAGAACGCGACCGCACACATGCATCCGTAGGACTCGATGAGACTACCAGCCTTAAACTTACATAATCTGGCGGTCCCCACTCCGGGCAAAGTGTGTTTGACCACTTTTCGGTCCCAGTCAAACTGGCGCTGCGCAACCGAAATACAGTACATACCCAACAGGATGTCCATTGGGAGATCATCGCTAACTAGGAACGAGACTCGATGTCTCAGTTCCCCTCCAGCGTACGGGAATAAACACTCTATGTCTTTAAGGTAGTCAGTGACTACCATGCGCTATTTGTTGGCGCAGGTCGACTCCACAGGTCGACTCAGGCGCTGCACTTGCCTCTGTAAACGCAGCCTCTCAACCCACGTGCGCCTAATAAAGTTTCGCGCTGAGCAAGTGTCATAATAGGCCCCGGCCTTGCAGCCGCCGATGACTACCTCACCGACGAACAGCTCACCCTTAGGGGCTCTGGCCATTGCCGTCCAAGAAGCTAGCGGGTCTGATCTAGACCACTCCTCCTCTAGCTCCTCTAAGGATTCAAACACATTCATCGAACAGAGGATCGATTGGTCTGAATGTGTTTGCGGGACAACAACGGAGTCAGTAGCTTGGGCCATCTCTCGAGATGGTGAGGGTGTGTCCACCACCTCGACCCTAGCAGGAACAACTACTATTCCTACTGGCCCGACGTGCTTCCCAAGGCGGTGCCAAAACTGCTGGCCACATTGCTACCCTGGGAAGTGGAGATCCCATCGCCTGCCCCATTGTAGGCGGGATCTTTTCCGTCACTTTCTTATTGCGACACTTGAACTGATTATGGCCATATTGGCCACAACGGATACAAGCCTGCCGCGTATAACGGTCTCTTCACACGTCCTCGATGAGACCCGCTTTCTCCCATGGAGGAGCGTTGGGGTCTACTTGACTCCCTTTTTGGACTGAGGCAGCGACTGCTCCACCCCTTGAAGCCTCTACGCTGCCTGCCTCGGAACCTACTCCCTCCTGGAAGTTGTCATCTAGTTCGATGGTAGAACCATCGTTATCGAGGAACATGATGCAACCCTTCACCCTCCAGTTGGGAGGCAGTGCTTTCTTCCTTCCGTCCGTTGTGGGTTGGTGCCTATGCCCTATCTTTGCTTCCAGGTCCAGGGCCTTCTTGCTAAACGAGGGGAAGTTGTGCACGTTGATGTTTGCCTCACCCGCCAACTCATTCCTGAGCGGCATAGGAAGACATCTCACGTAAGTGGTTAGCAAGACTTGGCGGTCATAGCGTACTCCAGGCACACAAATCAGACGCTCCACTGCGTCTATGGCATCCCTAACTGACTTGAACGCTCTGTTGTTGAAAGTCAGGATCACATCAGTGGCCTTTTGGGCCTCCTGAGGATCATGCCACATTTCCTCCACCAGCTTAAGGAAGTCTTCAAGTTTCAGGTTGAATGCCCAAGCATAGAAGTCATGACTGTATCCCTCTAGTTGCACTAGCCAGCTTAACCATCTTGCTGCGCTCCCCTTAAGGTAGGAGGCAGCCACAAACACTTTTTCGTGCGGCAAGGTCAACTTACACTTTACGTAGACTGGCACTGACCTCAACCATGTGTCAAGGTCTTTGCCCCTCTTATCCCCTGAGAAGGGTTTAGGTGAGGTGATGGCCGTCTTCGGAACCCACTGGCTTTGTCCCGGTACCTGCACCACTCCAGGTTGTGGACCTTGGGGCGCAGGCTGCTGCAGTAGCTGCTGTTGGGGCTGTGTGCCCTGCGGCTGTGCTGGCTGCGAGATAGCAGGCTGCCCAGTTACGGCAATCTGCAACAGGGGTTGGGAATACAATGTGTCTGTACATGAATCTGTACACTAGGACCTGCTGAGAACCCTCTTGTCAAAGGCATACTCAATAGGGAAGCGGCCTGTAACGATGCTGGAGGAACTACAAATGGGGATACTCCAGTCACCGGTGGGACAAAAGGAGGAGGCTGTACCACAGGCCAGGCACCAGGCCTTGATGGTGATGGTGTTGCCTGAGCTCTCCCAGCCAGCACGGCCAGGCTCTGCTGAATGTCCTGTAAAAGCGTCGTGTGATAGTCCTGCATCTCTATTACATCTAGCAGGCGGTTCTTTACCTTCACATCATCATCCATATGAGTCAGGTCCATCTCCTCTAACTCTCTAAAGTTCGCTTGTCTCCGCTGCATCCTTGACTTACGTCTAAGCATTCTCTCCTTTTCTGCCTTTCTCTCTCCTAACACCTTATGTAGTTGTGCCTCCTAAGCATTTGCTCGTTGTATGGCGACCTCCTCGGGAGTTAACACTAAATGTTGGCTTGCCATGATGCCTGCGCACTGACTCACAGTCTGTGCGACCGTTGCCCCTACAGTCCCTGAACTACAAGCCTGAGAGCTTTGCTGCGCAGTTGTGGCCATAATCACTGAAGTAGCGGCTTCGCTTGCGAACGCTCTGCTTACCTCTGCGGACCTAGCTCTACGTTACTGCTGCTGTCTCTCCCTTTGCCGGCGGAACAGGAATCCGTCACCCTCGGGTCCTAATGCCACGTGGGCTATAGGGCGCCTTGCATATTGCAGGATCCTATCGTCCTCGTGAGTATTATCCCTGACACTCATAAGCTACAAAACTCCACACGATCTGCACTAGGTCACACTCAATGCCTACCGCAGCTTAGTGTACAGACCGGTTTAAAATAAATAAATAAATTAATTGGTGGCTATTTCTACACATTTGGGTCCAACAGGTAAGTTCAGATGCCTACAAACGAAACTATATTGCTTTGACTAGTCCGCAAACAGAAAGCACACAGTAATCTCTACCTACGTTTTCTGTCAGATGTGTTAAAAGCTGTAACATCTAACTAATCAAAAATAAAAATAAAATCATTTGCATGGCTGTTTGCAGAGTGGAATCTTTCCCGAACTGATCACCTGAAACCTACCCCTCCCTCAATTCTTCTTGATTGTCACTTGACGTCAGCGTTCCTGAGCGATCCGGATAGCGTGTGTGTCTAAAGGTGTGCACACAGCCCACCCACCCCTGTGCCCCGAGTGTATGCTGAGCTGGCCAGCCCTGCACAATGTTTACCCTCGCGTGCAGCGAGCCTTACACCGACCGATTGGCTGGCCTTCCCCTCATCACCCATCTATCAGTGCAGCAGGCAGACAAAGGAAATCGCAGCAAAGCATGCGTGCTCTACTCCCGGTGGGTTGGCATGGTGACCGTGACCCAGTGCTTTGTCTAGGGCCCTTCAAATAGCTCCGCCCTCTCCTTCCAGATGCTCCACGTGAACAATGCTGACTCTCAAGGTTGAGCGCACTCGACGCCTCACATGAGAGGACTCTCAAGACAGAGCACACATCCTCACTGTAAGAAGTGTCGAAGAGGGTAGATAAGGTTAAGAGCAACGTACCTCAAAATAGTTGTCCCCAACCATAGATACTCGCACCAGATGACCTGATGCCGATTGTGATGACCAATCGCTGCTTCGGCACAACCAGCATTGCACCATCGTTCCACCTCAACATCAATCAGACATCAGATAGTTCTCATCACACTGCGAACACCCAATAATCACCACGTAGCCTTCCTGGCAATACCCCTCTCCACCTGGGTCGCCTGCTTGCCTTTGCCCTCCTCACTACACACCTCCCACAACCGCTCACCCAACAGACCGCGTGCATGTACCATATATGCAGAAGACAAGCGCCAGATTAGCGCACCGTACCACAACTCTGATACCAAATTGTAAAGAAAATGAGTGATAGCGAACTTTAGAAACCAAGCAACATCATACATATGAGACCAGGTAGTCGTGACCTCGAACCAAAAGCAGAATTGCAACACGAGTTCCACCAAATAAAAGCACAACAAAAGCTCACAAGTGACAATGTTGGAATGGTCTCATCATCATCAACAATGAACTAATGTCGACATCCTATCTGGCACTCTGCGCCCAGACTACAAATGGCAGATCCTATCTAGCCTATATACAATGTCGTTGCTGACGTCAACAGCTCCCCAAAGTACGAGCAGATATCGGCCACTGCCATTCGCCTCAAGCACCAGGTATGTCTCTCGAATCACTCACAACCTTGATCCCCCACTCACATATGCCACATGCACCTAAGGACCACCATGCGGCCCATCCAGCTCAGCGCAGCACAGCGCAGCTCGACTATGGCTGCCTGCTCTCCCTGCTCGTCCGGGAGCGTGTGGGCCTGGCCAGCGTTTAGCGTAGCAGCGCTTGCGCAACATGCAACCAGTGCCCGAATGCTGAATCTGGAGGCAGGCCCTTTCCTAAATGGTTGTGGCCTGCCTGCTGTGTGTGGCAAGGCTGCACTGGGCCCCGACCCAGAAGCTTCTGGTAGGACCCGAGAGGTTGAGCCTCAGTCCAGACGAATCAGGCCCAGGGCCTGTGGTGGTTACCTGTGCCCAACTGCCCGCAGCCTGTGTTCGGTCCATGTTGCGTATCTGGCCCAAGGCCTGCCTCAGTTACATACCATGAAGGCAGCCTGGGCCTGGGCGCTTTCAACCAACTG